CAAAAAATATTTTAATTTACATTTTCTCCCTCTAGATTTAAAAAAAGTATAGAAAAGTAAATTCTTTGGAGTGACACATTTCACCCAGAAAACTATAAAATCCACTTTCATTTTTCTTAATATCTGTGTTCATGAAAGCCAGGTGTGTAAACAAATTACAGCATTAGTAACTTGTAATTCTCTAACAACCCTCATATATAGTAAATTTATATTTTACAGTAGCTAATATTCTGAACTCAAAAGCAAGGGAAGTAATCACCATTCAGAACAAATAACTTGAAATTGACATAGAGGTAGTACTAACTTTTAGACAGTCGATTATGAATTAAAGACCGAGAAAGGGACAAGGCGCAATGCAGAAGTCTCCCTCCAGCTTCCTAATTATTAAGGAAATAATATTAAGGAAATATTATTTCCTTAATATTATTAAGGAAATACTCCTCTATGTGCGGAAAGTACTTCTGATCTCTGAATACGCGATGCCATAAATTTTGCACTTTGGAACTTACGCATTCTTAAACAAAATGAATTTTCTATCTTTCAGCCAAAATAAATGTATAAGCACTTTATGAATAGAACTTTTAGTAAATGGTAAAATGCACAAATCAATATTTTGTCTCAGACTAGATATCCTTGTCAGCTCTATCTTAATATACTAAAAATATTGACTTTATGAATATATGTTAAGGTGTCTGTTTTATACTGATGACTTCAGAAAGCTAGACAGAACAGTAAATATTTCATTGCAATATTTTTATTATTACAATGAAATATAAGGAATAACTGTTTAGTGATAAATAGGACTTATATCACAGTAGTCCAAAATAATGGCTGAATATTTAAAGAACAAATACAAGATTCTTTTCTTCCTACAGAGATAATCTCGTGGTCTACATTGAATAAAAAGTTTGCATTTTAAATAGTAAGACAGGATATCTAGCAGACACCTGGGCTTATCCCAATGTTATAAGCAATAAAGGTAGACTCCCATATCACCTCACATTTTAAAGAAAATGAAAATCTGCCACAGTCCAATGAGTTTGGGAAGGCGTGGCAGAATGGGTGATGCTTAGGACCACACGGAAGCTTTGGAATCAGGCAGGACCCACAGAAAGGCCCAGATCTACAGCTTGTCAGTGGCCCCATGAAAGTGACCTCTCTGAGCTTGTTTCCTCATCCGTGTGGCTGGACAAATACTGGCATCCCCTTAAAAGAAGTGCTGCAAGAGTTCAGTGTAAAGCGCTTGGATACTAAATTGTAAGTTGTCAATAGGGGTTATTTTCCATTTCTCTTACCTTTATTTTTTTCTTTTATACATAGCACTTCCATCTTTCTTTAAACAAATTAAATGTAACTTTTACAAAAAGTACAACAGATCCTTCTGGATTTACACATCTTGGCTTCATTTGTTGTAAGCAGTGGAATCTGTCAGCAGGACTGGTCACCTGCTGTCCAGTTGTCTGCTTCTGACACTGTCAGTGACTGCTGACCCTGTGTCCCTCGTATATGGTCAGTTTGCATCCTTGCAGTATTGATGAGAGACAGGACACTGCAGCATGACCCTCAGAAAAATACAGTGACATTCTTAAATGGATCCCTGCGGGTTGGTGAATGAAACCCTTCCAGAAGTTTAACCTGCAGTCAAGGGATGCTGCTTTCAAATGCAGCAGCTGCACCCTCATCCAGAATGCTGTCCTTTACAGTGACGAAAATGACATGAAGGTAATTAACAAGTCACCTAACGGGTCCACCTTAAAAAACTGATTATGATTTATCTAGTTTTTTTGTATGTATGTCAGTTTTTAGCAAGTTCTTATTATAATTTTGACCTATTAATATTGTAACACAAACAAGCACATATTATTTATAAATATTGATGACAGATCTACATAAACATTTAAATTATAATACTAAAACTAAAAGTATACATGTGAAAGAAACCCAAGTGTTTAGAGTAAGATGCTTGTAATGCTGAAATGCTAAATAATCTAGAAATGATCTCAGTGCCAGTCATTTAACTAGAAAGAAAATACGATTATTGCTGTTAATACAGATTTTACATACAGAGTACTGCAAAACCTAAAGCAATTTCACTGGAAAAGAAAGTACCTTATGATGCATCCCATGAAATATAAAAAAATAAAATGTCTTCATATTTTTCTACATTAAAAACAATATTAATCTCAAAAACTAGCTAATAGAGCTTTGATATGTAATTTAAAATGTGGCTAAGGGGGAAAATTTGATGAACCTTAAGATAAAAGCTAAGTAAAAGCAAGTGTGTGTGCTGGCCGAAGCACACTGTGGCACTGCTTTGTGGAGCCGATCAATAGATATCAGCTTTAAAAAAAAAGAGATATATAAAGGGGCTACAGCATATTTTTTAAATGACAGTGAGAAGGTTTAAATTGTCTCAATCAAGACTCAATTTTTTCTTCCCAGTTTTCCCAGCTGTTCTCTTCCAGTGAAGACTCTTCATTTCAAATAAATTTAATTAGTTCCAATTGATCACAGCCAACACTCACACAGTTTTTTTCCACGGTTCCTTATTTTTATAAAGCGAACACCAACGGAAGCTGCCAGGTTCAGAGTCAAGCTGCACAAGACACCATTCACAGCTCCTTCCATTCTCACCAAAAGAAAAATTTCAAAAAGGACAATTCTTTCTACAACGAAGGCACTAATTTATACCTCATATCTTAATTGGTGTCTTGGTAGGTTGTTTAATTGAGTTGGTTAAAAAACTAGCTTCCAGATTACTACAAATATAAAATTAATAGAACAATGCCTATTAGCTTGACTACAATCTCTAAGTAAGAGCCCATTCAAAATACAGGCAAATATCTCTGTCATGATATAATTTCTATTTATTTTATGAGGGGATATTACTAGATTAATTCTTTTTAAATAACTAAAAAAGAAAAGATCAGATTTTTCAGAGTAAAAGGCTAACCTGATCAGTTTTCCTTTTTGTATTTATTTGTGCTGTGCAATGCTGGTTATCCCAAAATAGAATTATTATGCTTGGAACAGATTCCTCTCAATGCATCTACCCTATTTTTCATAATGCAATTTATATAGGATTGTAGTCAATAAAAAGAAATATGGCTTTCTTCTAAACCTTCACAAAAATCTATACCACGTCTTAATCAAGTCATACAATCAGAAGGTAACCTCACCAATCTACCGACTGCAACGTGCCAGTTGCCTGACAGCATGTTACAGGAGCCTTTTTTCAGTTATGGAAATTCTCTGGATATGGAACATCCTTGCCTCTAGTATCCATGGCATGAAATGAACATCTGTCACATATGTTTAACTGAACTTCATACAGGCTGAAATATAGTTTATGTAGCATTATTTGAGTCTCCAAAACTAGATTTTCATTTTTAAGCTTCTTGATTATTTCTAACAATCAAATGAAAACACAATCATGTGCTATGGTGAATGCAGTCTTCGGAAGGACTTTGGAAGACTCAAAATTGAGTCTCAAAATTGACTCAACTGACTCAAGATTTCAGTGTACCGATTAACCAGTGCTTGAGTGCTCAAAATTTATCTTTTATTCCAGAATGCAAACTGAGTTATTCTACTATTGCAAAGATCACTTTTCCCCCATTAATCAAACCACTACTTTTAACAGACATAAAACCTTTAAAGTTTATAGCGAATTAAAATATAACAAAAACATCTTTAACAGCATTTCAAAAAGCAATGAAAGTGGAATAAAATAAAAACTAGTTTAAAAAACTTACAAATGAAATCATTTCCTTCAGTAGCTACTGAAACAAATTCCATAATTGTGAAGTGTAAATTACTTTCAGAAAAGTCAAAAGGTTCTAAAATAATTTATATTTAAAGTAGATGATTTTTAAGAAAAAATCAATGAACTGATAACATGAAAGTGAATTGAAAAGTAACAAGAAGAACCACTATCATCTCATTTTTACTGAAAACCAGCTGCTCCCCAACTTAGTCAACTTCTCGTCTGCAGCAATGACACAAACTGGGGCTTTTAAATTAACACTCGCCTTGCAAATTTCAAGGGCGGCCCTCAGCCTCCCTCCGCCTCTTCCCAGAGATACCGTTTTAAAGGCGTCCGGGGCTAACAGTGAAGAAGCTGCCAGATGGAGCTTTAACAAGAAAACAAACAAACCATACACCTCTCTTTTGTTTTTTCTCCCTTTAATTAGGTTTTGATGAAAATTTTACTGAGATTTTATGGATATGCTTCATTTCAAATTTTGATTACTATTAAGTTAGTATTTGTTGCTTCATGAGAATTACAGAGCCATGTTGTCAGATTTTACATTTTAACCATCCACACCAAAGACAAAAGTTCACCATTCTTAATACCAATAAAAATATCTATATTGGGTTGCTTTTTATCCTCTGTGCACTGAAAAAAAGGGAGCTGAATGCATTTGAAGACCCAGTAACTGGAACTGTTCAAACCTATAAAAAGATAGGCTGACAACACATGCTGCGTGGCTTTTCTAAATTTTACTTATTGCCTGGTTACGTGATAAATATTTCCCATAAGAATGCACAATACCAAGCATACAAATAACTTTTAAAAGCAGCATTCATTTCTATGGTGTAGGTAAAAGAGTACTTGTACATTTCCTTCCGTAGCCCACAGTGCTATCACAACCTCAATAGTTTCAGTTCACCCTATAATTGCAAAACCTTTCATAACATAATAGGTGTATTCCTCTACATGTTCCGAGGCTTTAGAAATAACCCTGACCTCTGAATTAGAAGGTCCCCAGAAAATCAAATGCACAGCCAGCAGGTTCATTGTTATGGCAACAATGAGCAGACCTGGACTGCACTTCAAGATCAGGAAGGACACTAAAGAATCTTATAAAACCAAACACTCCATCAATACAAGTTTCTGTCCTCTCCATCAACATGCTCCGTCCCACTCCAAAGGACAGAAGAGCATCTTCCAATACTGGACGAGGCTCATCCAGATTATATTAAAGAAGTCTCCTTACCAGCTGTGATGTCGTCATCGACAAGGTCGTGCTCTTCCTCTTGGACTTTGGCCTCAGTCCCCGAGGTGGTGTCTGGAGCCGTGGTGACCGTCTGCATGGCTTCGGCTGAGACCCCAGCTAAAACGAATGGGAATCACAGACTCAGTTTTTCAGGACTAAAAGAAAGGTGGATCAAAACTCAAAACTTTTTAACTTACTGGAGGCAAATGCAATACATTTTAAAATACAGGCAGGCAAAAGTAAGTTTACAGTTTGTTGGTATGGAAAATATGATAATAAATTATAACACAAGAATGAACTTTCACATACTCACAACTGTAAACCTCCTTTTGCCCCGCTCCATGTACATTCACCAAATTTGGGGAGAAACACAAAGTGATGAACCCAACATTCACGTGAGCTCTATTTCTCCATGTGTGTGTATGTATGTATGTATGTATGTATGGGTGCAAAGGATATTTATTGACTTCTTTCACTAAGATCTGGGAGAAGCAGAAAAATAATGCTGAAGTAAATTATATTTTTACTTGATTCCTTTCAAGTTTCTTGCTACAGTCACTTTAGTTGATTTAGAAAGAATCACGGTAAAAAGAGAAAGAATTTCTGAAAAGTGAAGAAGAATGATAACAAAAGAAGGATTTGGTCACTGCAGGAGACCTGAAAGGCACTGCCCGCAAGAACCGAACATCTCTGTCTATGAGGAAACTGCGATGAGGTCAGGTCATTGTCACACTGAAAGCTGACCAGTGAACTAGATCCAGTGCCAAAAGCTCCCCTTTCGTAAAATCCCCTGTGACTTGATGGTTCATACAAATGTCTTTTCCTTACTCACCTATCTTCCCACCCTTGATGATTTATTTTGATATTAATTTATATCTGCCATATAATTTCTAATCAGGTGATGGATAGTAGGGTGTCTCAATATTTTTCATTTGGGTGTCAACGGGTATTGCTCCATCATAGTACATAAAAATACCACCACTGGTAGTTACTGTAGGAGTTGAACCTTACAATCAAATCTTCTTAACAAGTACTTCCATAGCTGCAGATACAGTAGCCATCAAAACATTTTTAAACAGAAATGGTACAAATACTCAAGGATTTCTTTTCTTCCTACGTGTACTAACTTAAGTGTTTCTATATGATACTCAACCTTGCTGCCTCAGGCCTATGAAAGGCGCCAAGAGAAAAAGAAACTCAGTCATTAAACACCAGGAATGGTCCAGAACTAGACCTAGAAGTAGGCAGTTCCAAGGTCTAAATATTTAAATTTGGGGACGAGAACATACCATGTTAGTACCAGCACATTTTTCAGAATTGCTGCAATGAAAAAGGAAGGAAGGAAGGAAGGAAGGAAAAGAAAAGAGAAAAGGAAAAACAAGAGAAGAGAAAAGGAAAAAGAAGAGAAGAGAAAAGAACAGTGCTGTATCAACAGTCTCTGACAAATTCAAAATGACAAAGCCATCCCTTCACAGGATCATTTTGTTGTTGGGTTTTCAAGATAAAATTTTAAAATAAAGAAGGGGGATTACTGGAAAATTAGTATTAAGTTCATCAGAAATGGCTATCAGTAAAATAATCAAAAAGAGTAGATGAGAAGGTTAATGCTACACTCCTAAATAAAGACTTATTGCTTAAATAAAAAGGCAAAGATCATTATTTCAGATTATTAAATCAAAATATAAATCTCTGAAGGCTCTTAATCTCATGTCTTGTCTAACCCTTGATAATTCTTTAAATGACTATGGAAACAGGTAAAAGATATTAAGGAACAGCTGACAGTAACAATCATTTATTAGTGGTATTTTCCTTTCCTGTAAAATTAAAATGCTCCACAAAAATAAAGCTGGTGTTTACGTAGTCAGAAGTTTACAAATTCCTTTAAATCAGTCTCATTTAATCAGAGAGGTTCAGTAGTTGCTCAACATAACGCAGCGACTACATTCAGGGCCAGCATTGACACGTAGGTCTTTTGATTTCAAACCCCAATACCCTTTACCACCAAGACCTTCTGGACACTGGGTTGCAGGCTAAGAGGTAGGACAGAGCATCACAGCCGTGAGGAATCGTGGAATAATAAGGATGCTGAGTCTCAATCCTGGTAAGCCCTCCATGGAGTTCTTGGGTACCCCAGGTAACTATTCAACTGAGGGCATTCGATATTTTGGGACAGAACTTAAGCAGCGAACGTGTACGTCTCAAAGTAGCCAAGGCCGAGAGAGACCAAGTAGCTGTGCTGAAACTGGTTTCTCAACCGACACTTTCCAAAACAAAGAAAGGGTGGAAAATCCCTTACCTTGTGGTAGAAAAAAAAATACAAAACTAAAACTACAAAGCAATATATCTAGTAAATACAGCCTCAACAACCCCTAACAAAATGTAAGCAAATAGAATTCAGCAACATATAAAAAGATTTTTATATCATTACCAAGTGAGATTTATTCCAAGGATATAAGTCTGTTTATATTAAAAAATCAATCAACATAATGTAAAATATTAACAAGCTAAAGAAGAAAAAATCATATAGTTCATAGCAATCATTTGACAAAATTCAACTTCAATTCATGATTTTAAAAAGCTCCTCCAAAAATACAGATAAAGAGGAACTTTGTCAACTCAGTAAAGAAGAACATCTACTGGGCACCGACGGCTAGCGATTCACGCCCTGGTGGGAGACTGGACGCTCTCCTCCGGGCATGGGGAGTGCAGTGAAGGTGTCCACACCGGCCACTCGGACTTAACACAGCATCGGACCTTCAAGCCCATGTAACAAAGCGAGAAGAGAAAACACATACAGCCATGCTGTTTAGAAAGGATGAAATACATGGTCCTTATTCGAGGATAAAACACTGTCTACATAAAAACTTCAAAGGATATGATGCAGCGGGGGGGGGGGGGGGCAGGGAGGACGATGACAACTAGAAAGTGTGTATGGATGGCAAGGCTGCGGAATACAAGAAAAAGCATTTAAAAAAATCGATCATATTTGTATATGCTAGCAATGAACATGTGAATACCTAAATTAAAAAATACTAATAATAATGGTTCGAAACACTGAAATACTTAGAATGAAATATAAAAATATATACAGGACTTCATGCTGAAACCTACAAGAGAGAGGAAAGAAATCAAAGATCATCTAAATAATGAAATGGAGGCATATACAGGGGTGAAGAAACTTTACAGTTGTGAGTGTGCAAAACACAAAGCTTATTCTTGTATTACTATTTATTAATTATCATATTATTTTTCATTCAAACAATGGTAAACCTTCTTTTGCCCCATCCTGTAGTGTTCATGGGTTCATTATAGAAGATTCAACACAGCAAAAATGTTGCTTCTCTATAAATTGATATACAGGTTTACCATAATTTCTATGAAAATGCCAGCTTACTGTTGTAGGTACAGACACAATTATTCTCAAATTAATGTAAAGACACAGGGATTAGACTAGCTACAAGTATTTTGGAGAAAAAATACGGTGACAAATATCAGTCTGCCCATTTTAAGATATCATATAAAGATATTAAAACTATATGGCTTTAGGCTAATAGAATAGAGAACCCGTAAAGATGCACACGAAGATGCCCAACTGATATTTGACAGGTGCAAGAACAATTCAGTGGAGATTTAATGACAGGCTCTTCAACAACTGGCCTTCTTAACTGGATGTCTAGAGACAAAAAGCTGACCCTTGACCTAAGGCTCGTACCTTACTATAAAAATTAACTTAATCCCTCCATCCCCTGACCTCAGGAGAAAGGACTCATGGACAAGGACAAAAGTGTGGTGATTGTGGGGGAAAGGGAGGCATAAGGGGACTAAATGGTATTGGAAAAAATAATATAAAAATTATTTTAAAAAGAAAATTAACTTAAAATGAATCACGGGCTTAAATGTAGATCAAAGAAGTATAAAACTTTTACCCACAAAAGAAAAATCTTTGAGATCTAAGGCTACAGGTGACACCAAAAATACAATCCATTAAAGAAAAACTGGGTAACGTAGACTTCATCAACATTAAAAACTTTCACTCTATAGAATATCCTCTTAAGAAAATAAAAAGAGAAGCTGCAAACTGGGAGAAGAGATTCACAAATCAAATATCCAGCAGGAGACTAGTATCTAGTCTATATAAGGCACCCTCAAAACTCAACAGTAAATAGTCTGGCAGTTCCTCTGAAGGTTAAACGTCGTTACCACATGGCCCGGCAACTCCACTCCCAGGAAATAAAAACACACGGCCACACAAAGGCTTGTGCGTGAGTGTTCTCAACAGCATTACTCGAACAAGCCACAGTGTTTAAAAAATCTGAACGTTCATTCATCAACTGATGAATGAATGTATGACTACATCACAATTTATTGATGAATAGATAATTATGATACATTTATACAGTGGAGCATTAATCAGCAACACAAGGATATGAAGTACTAAAAGAAGCCATTCATAAGACACATGTTGAAATGTCCAGAATTAGCAAATCTAGAGACAGAACCACTTTTTGAAATATAAAAATCACTTCATCGCTATCCACTGTCAATAAGATGACAAACTATTCCTGAGAAAAAGAGCCTATTTAGAAAACATATATATAGAACTTCATATTCTTGCATATTTATAATCTTGATCATCGAGATTATAAATCTCAATTCATAATATGGTGGTGCATTGCTGTTTTCTTGTGTATTTGATGTAAGCAAGCTTATTTGTCAAACTATGCCATTAAATCTAAGACTCATGCTTTCTGGGTATCCCCATAATATTTGGCAGTGACGAACATCTCATAAAGGTTCATGCCAGAGAACAGGTGTCTGTAAATGGGTTCCATGGTGTGAATCAGTATAAAAACAAGGAAACAATGGAATGGAGCAGAAGTCAGGCATGAGTAAGTCAGAAAGTAGGGGTGAGGGGTTGTGACTAGTAGCAGAAGTAAGAAGTAGAGGACAGGAGAGACTATTACCAGATGTTCATGCCAGCTAGATATCTCAATACTTAGATCACTATTCATTGTGAGAGAGAGATATATATACCACATCTGTCCAGAAGGTATCCAGCCATGTAATATAGAAAAGAGACATTTATTGAAAAAGATACAAGAAACACTGTAGACAGG